TGATGTCGTATCCATATAATGTCACAACCTTCTTAATGACCAAAAACACTTTTACTAAAATAATATTTTATATAAATATATATATATATATATAAATATAAATATAAATATAAATGTTCAAAATTTATTGAATATAAAGCGTCCGACGTACAAAACAAACACATAAAATCGCTCAAAATTCATTTTGTATATAATTTTAAAATATTATAGAGTGTGAGCCCCATAACGTAAACCATTAATTTTGGCCTCCGCTGGAAAGAGAAACCCACGAGCGATAGATTACACTCGACGCCACATGAGCCCAAATCAGGACCGAAAACGCTTCGAAATTTCCTATTGTTCATCGAAATTTCATATAGTTATAATCTCGCACTGAAACCATATCCGAAACATCCGAAATATCGCCACCCCTACCTTCGCGCCGTCATTCTAGCAATAGGATAACCACTAATGACACAGGGCCGCACATCGCCCGTCAAGTCCAAAGAAAGGTGCACGATCGTAGCGTCTTGCGCCACGTGTCCACGTGCTTTGTTACACGACACAAGCAATAGGTGACGCGGGACAGGACGCATCGCCACGTCATCGCACTGAGGGTCACGTCAACATCAGTGGATCGCGCTGCGCTGGCCAAGTGGACGGCAAGATGATACATTCGAGCATTTAGGAGGCATGTGTGACTTCCACGTGTCATCCTAGGGCATCTGGTCAGGGGCAAATATTCCGGACCGAGGGAGAAATCAGCTGAGCATGGGCCGGTCCCATTGCTTAAATTAAATTAATTGAATTAAATGGGGGGTTCGCTTTAATTACTCCTAAACTAATCATCTTAGGTTTGGGTCTCCACCATGTTTAGCAATTGAGTTTATGGTTGGGCCACCCCCAAACGAGGATGGCAGTTTGGGTTCTTCTAGATTTTTGAATTTTTTATTTCCCTCCAACTCTTTTCTTTGGAGCACTGGGTGCGCCAAGCGCACTTCGTATTCTTCCATTATCATGTTGAAAAGTAGCTATTTGGTTCCTTTTTTTTTTTGCTATTTACACGGCAATTTGGCTGCCTACCCACTTTTATTTTTTTGGCAAGCCCATTCCATTATCATGTTGAAAAGTAGCTATTTGGTTCCTTTTTTTTTTGCTATTTACACGGCAATTTGGCTGGCTACCCACTTTTAGTTTTTAGGAAGCCCATGTCATAAAATAATTTAGGGTAGCTGATTTGATTGAATAATTGAGAATAAAGCAATGACCATATTACATGATTAAACTTGCTAGTAGCAATCTATAGCATTCGCATCACTTTGTTTACGGTTGACTTTGGATCGATCTCTAATGTGAGATTAATTCCTAGTCTCGTACAAGAAGTTGAATTTTTAGATCAGTATAGAAAGTGGGGTCTATCAAATTATAGAATAAGAAGCATCACATATCTTGTAGAACCGGTTTTCTTCTAAGACTACTGCAAGTGCCACCTCTGGAATATGGTTTTTAGACTTTAAAGAGCTTCTAAAATATAGCTAAAGTTAAAAAAATAAAAAAATAACCATAAGAATAAAATTGAAGATAAATAAATAAAAGAGAATTATCACATATCTAGCAAACCATGTGTTGAGCCTTATATCAGGACCGCATGTTGATTTACATATTTTGATGCCTTTTCCTGTTTTCTTGAAGCATGCTTTAAGCTTTTGGTTTGGATCTAAGGTAAATTGTTTTCATGATTATGATTTGGAGAAATTTTTCAAAGGATTTAGGATTAGGGTCTCTAGACTAAGGTTTTCAAGAAATTTTCCTTATCTTGAGGTTTTATCTCATTTTTTAGAATTTTAGGATTTTTCCTATTTTCCTAATAATTTTTGGAAGAAATTTTAACTTTTTCCTATTTTTTTAGGATTTTTCTAGCCTTTTCCTAATTTTTGGAATTCTATGGGAATTTCCTAATATTTCTAGGGACTTTCTTAAGGATTTTTGGACTATTCTTTTTCCAAAAATTTTGAGGGGTATTTATAGGCTTATGCTAAGGTTAGGATTGAAATTAATTCATCTAATCTTCTGATTCCAATTTGATTAGGATTAGGGTATTTTCCATATTCTGAAATATTCTAGTTAAAACTAACTTAATAAACCTAATCAAAATAGGATTGGACGGCGGGTTAACTGCCTCGGTCCCATTGGGTTGCACGACATGCAACAAGTAGCAAGGCCTAATGCTCCGCATGGCAGTTGGCGCACGTGCGACATGGAGTGTGTTACAACAGGAGCATTTTGGTAAATTTGACCATTAGCCTCCTTTTGAGTGATTTTTTGATCGTTGAAAAGTTCTTGGGCCTACTATGACTTGAGATGAGTTTTGGACAATTTTGAGATAGTTAAATTGGGTATAAGCTCACTATGACTTACTAGGGTATGTGTGATTTTTGGGATTAAGAATCAAGATTCCTATAAATTCACTTAGCCATAATTCCTAGGGGTTATCTACACACTCACTTTTAGATTTTATCATCTAATTGAATAACTTGAGAGGGCACTTGTCACAAAACACATTTTGAAACACATACCAGTTGGACAAATCCTTCATCCACAATCATGTCAGATCCTTGAATTGGTGATATGAGATTGGGTTTAGATTGGTTTGGGTCAATAATCTAATAAATATTCAATATATAAATTAAAATAGGGGCTTAGAGGGGGTGGGGATTTAGAGGGTGTCAAAGAAAATAATAGATAAATTTTAAAAAAGGAAAAAAAAAAAACCTATATAACAGGGATTTAGGGGGAACCAAGTTGAACTCATACTATCGAGAACTAATCCCGACCAATTCCCATTCAAATTGATGATCTAGATAAGAAATCTCTAGATTTGCAAACATTGATTATATACAATTCCACACACATAAAATGGTTTTCGAGTGTAAAAAGATGGCCCTTATTTGACTAACGGGTGTGGTTTGCATGAGGTTGCAACCTTAAACAATCAAATGAAGGTGTGCCTCCAAATTTTATCATAATATGTAATTTCAGCATAAAAAGTTCTTAAGATCGTTTGAAAAATCTATTTTCATATCTAATTGTAAAATTTTAAATTTTGAAAATAGTTCAAATCAAGTAGATCTATTAACATATGAAAATCTTGCAAGTAGACGAAGATAATGTGTTGCAATATGCACTCTTTCTAAGACTCAAAATCTATTTTTTAAAATATTTGGATGTCTTAATATTGAGTGATCAATTAGAGGATTTTTCAATATTAAACAACATTTTTTGATGAATTTTTTAAGTGCACCCTAATTCGACATTTTAAACCTTAAATAAGTTTTTTCCTTGACTAAATGAGGCTTCAACTCATTATCATATGATAAGAGGGCCATGGTTAGCAAGCGGGCTTGACAATAAATATATTTTTAAATATAATTTGATCTTAATTTTTAGAGAATATATAATCTTTAACATGAAGATAATGAATATGAGCTTCTTTTTTTTTCCTGAAAGCTAAAAATAACAATTATATTAAAAAAACATTTGGACCATTACTTACCATTGATTTTTGATAGACCACTTATTTATATCTATTTTTAAGATACATGTTTTATACCTTTGGACCGCATATTACATCGTAGAAATATAGTAGGGCCCGCATGAAACAATTTTCCCAATATGAGATCGGTAATCATTTTGTGCCCTCCTGTTCTTGCTATTCACACCCATTTTCATGGCTGGCAATTTAACTATTGTTGTGCATTAGTCATGTTCACAGTCATGGGGGACTCATCAAATATTTTGCAATAGCGAAAATCAATGGGAAATCCTTCGAATTATTGATAACATTCATAATAGGGCGGGAGAAATAAATTGGAGATAAATAATTAGGGTTTGGTGGGGCCCGCGACAGGTGGGAAGGTTTGAGGCGGTTGGACAGGGTCAAGCCGCAAGACTCAAGTGGTGGTCATCACATCGAGAGAGTGTAATAACCGGCTGAGCCGGTTCCTGTCCGGTCCTGATTATTAAGTCGGGAGAGTATCTTAACCGGCTGATCTGGTTCCTGTCCGGTCCGTTTCCTCCCATTTGTGCCATTATTTAAATTTTAAACAATAGGGACGTTGGGAAAAAGAATCCAATAATTCAGTTTGACAGCTGGAAACCGGCGGCCAACGTTACCTTCCGCAAAGTTGTGCCTTTCTTTAATCCCATCACCCCAAACGCTAATCATTAGCATCCCCAACGGAAAAAAGCAAACACGCCGTCAACGGACGCTCGTCGCCGGAGGCCGGGATTCCCGGCTAGTGATGTCGTGCGGGCCCCACGTCATAGACTTCACTGTCTCCCCATCGTTACTCGGGACGGCTTTCCGTTTGTGGTGATGTAGTGCTCCCTCTACTTACGGCTCGCCTGTTGGTTACGTGCGTTTCTAAGTAACGGCGCCGCAGCAAGATATCATTTCACCGTTACAGAGAAAGAAAGACCGCATAAATGTTCTATAAATGGACGCAGTTATTGTAGAAATGCGGGCTGAGTAATATATAATCTTTAACATGGAAATTACGAATATAATTTTTTTTTTAATTTTTAATTTTTATGTTTTTTATATCTATATTCTTTAAATTAAAATCAGATTATATTTAAAAAATATAATTATTGCCAAGCTCGCATTTATACAATGGGCGTTGAAACCGTGTCCAAATAAGTTTGGGAAAGGACGGTAAGAAAACAAAATTTTAATTACGAGGAGGAGAATTAAATTAACAGAAATGAAGAAGTTTAGACAGATAAGATTATGGTACTGACAAATGACATTCTGATTCTTGGCCAGGAGGGTGTGTTTGTCATTTAATGAGCGTGCGAGGGCATTCCGATACTAAACGGGCAACCGAGGCCGGCACAAGGCAAGGGAAGTTTATTTGTGGTTGGTGGCGGGGCCACCAGAGCTGTCTTCTGACTTGACAGAGTGTTTCTCGTCACGTCCGACCCCGTCCTCAAAAGCATTTAAGCCTCCCCTCCTTCATTTCCCCGTTTACCTTCCTCCCTCTCCCTCTCACTACCTTCTATCCCTCTCAATCGCTTTCTCTCTCTAGCTTTCTCTTTTGAGTTTTTTCTCTCTCTTGTTGAGTGGCGATGGCGGAGGAAGCTCAGCCAGCCCCACCTGCCGCGACCCAGGCGCTAACCGCCCCACCCCCGGCTGAAGAGGCACCACCAGCCACCAAAGAAGTGAAGGTGGAGGAACTTGAACCCGCTTCCACTAAAGAAGTGGAAGTCCCAAAGGCGGAGGTCGCTGAGGACCCCAAACCGGAGGCCGAGACACCTCCTGAAGCCTCCCCTGAAAGTAAAGCGGTCGAGGAGAGCATCCCTCAATCTGTGTCCTTCAAGGAGGAGAGCACCCGCGTGGCCGATCTTGAAGACCCGGAGAAGAAGGCTCTGGAAGAGCTCAAAACCCTGATCGACCAGGCCCTCAAGGAGAACGGCCTCTCCACCCCTCCTCCTCCTCCTCCTCCTCCACCAAAGGAACAAGAGAAGCCCGCACCTCCCAAAGGAGAAGAAAAACCGGCTCCTGAAAAGGAAGCGGAGAAGGAAGAAGAGAAACCTGCAGAGAAGGAAGAACAGAAACCTGCAGCTTCCAGTGCGGTAGAAGCTCCTGCTGAGCCTGAGGTTGAGAAACCCAAGCCTGCCGAGCCTACTGCTGCCGAGATCACACCTGAGGCCCCTGCTGCCCCCGAAACCACTCCGCCTTCAAAGGCAGAGGATGTTCCGGCGCCTGCTTCTGAGGCACCACCAGCTGTCTCCGTGGAGACAGCAGCAGCTCCACCAGCAGCTCCCGCTGCTGAGGATGATGGTGCAAAGACAGTGGAAGCGATTGAGGAGACCGTGGTCCCTTCAGCTTCCGCTCCTGCAGCTGAGGCCCCTGAAACTGAGGCCCCGGTGGTCACAGAGGAGCCGGCACAAGAGGCCCAGGTGACCCCTGAAGAGGTGTTTATTTGGGGAATCCCTCTTTTGGGAGATGAGCGCAGCGATGTGGTGCTATTGAAGTTCCTGCGTGCTCGCGATTTCAAGGTGAAGGATGCTTTCACGATGATCAAGAACACAGTACAGTGGAGAAAGAGCTTTGAAATTGAGGGGCTGTTGGAGGAGGATCTGGGGAGCGACCTTGAGAGTGTGGTGTTCATGAACGGTGTCGATAGGGAGGGGCACCCTGTGTGCTACAATGTTTATGGGGAGTTTCAGAACAAGGAGATCTATCAGAAGACCTTCGCCGACGAGGAGAAGAGACAGAGGTTCTTGAGGTGGAGGATTCAGTTCCTCGAGAAGGGGATCAGGCAGTTGGACTTCACTCCTGGTGGTATCAGTACTCTGGTTCAGGTCACTGATCTCAAGAACTCGCCTGGGCCTGGAAAGCGCGAGCTCCGACAGGCCACTAACCAGGCCCTCTCGCTCCTCCAGGATAATTACCCTGAATTTGTGGCCAAGCAGGTATTATCTCTCTCTTGATTTTGGGTTTTCTGAGCATATTTTGTTGGGTTTTCATGATTTTAAAGACCAATTGGTGGTGTGCAGGTTTTTATCAATGTTCCATGGTGGTACCTCGCCTTTAACAGGATGATCAGCCCGTTCCTGACCCAGAGGACCAAGAGCAAATTTGTCTTTGCTGGCCCATCCAAATCGACCGAGACCCTTTTCAAGTAATAAGAGAGAATACTTGTTTGACTTAATGTATTTTTTCCCTTGATGTGGGATTGTTTCGTGGTTATGGGATTAATCGTATTGTTGGTGTGCTTCTTGTTGGATTTGCAGGTACATCGCTCCAGAACAAGTTCCAGTTCAGTATGGAGGCCTGAGCAAAGAGAACGACACTGAATTTTCTACTGCTGATGCTGCCACAGAGTTTACCATTAAGCCTGCATCCAAGAACACTGTGGAGATTCCAGTTACAGAGGTGAGCACAGGGAATTAAAGTTCTTGTTGGTTTTAATGAAATTTGTTTTTATAAATTTCAAACTCGAATTTATTTATCATGTCTTATGATAATTAATCCTAAATCTTTAATTGTTTTTTGCTTTACAAATTTGACAGAACCCTATGATAAATCTCTCTCTCTCTCTCTCTCTCTCTCTCTCTTTTTCATAATCTCTCTTCCCCTGTTTCTTGCTATAAATTTCATCCTTTTAGTCGGTCAAGCCTTTGTTGATCGTTGTGTTTGCACGATTCTGAGCTTATGGGGTTAATTGGAATGGGTTTGTGTGTTAGGCCTGCATTCTGGTTTGGGAGCTCCGAATTCTGGGATGGGATGTGAGCTATGGTGCTGAGTTTGTTCCTAGCGCAGAGGACGGGTACACCGTAATCGTCCAAAAGGCCAGAAAGATCGCCATTACCGATGAGCCTGTCATAAGGAACAGCTTCAAGATAGGAGAACCAGGTAAAATTGTGCTCACAGTTGACAACACATCCTCAAAGAAGAAGAAACTCATCTACCGATACAAAACGAAGAAGACCGTCGATATATCAGTCTAGAAAGGTTTTCAAATGATTGATTCTTGGGTGAGGAAGAACGACTCTTATCTTTCAGATTTCCACTTGGCTTGCGCATAATCTGGATTGATGGTCATATAAAACAGCAAGAGAAGTGGGAATTTATTTGAGTTGGGGTTTTCATTTTATCTGATTCCTGTCTGTTTTGTTATTGGTTTTTTGAATTTGTATTGGGTTTGAGGAGTGGAAAGTAATGAGGAAATTGGATCATTTTGTGTTGGAAGAGGGAGGAGGGCTATAGGAAGGAAAACATTATTTTGTGTTGGGAATGTATTTAGTAGAGTTGTGTAAATTTGATGCCTGAATTTTATTGTTATGAGATACCAATGTTTCTTGTCTAAGCTCTAGAGAGACAGAGAGAGAGAGTCTTGTCCAATATTGGTTTTTCATTGTATGGGATAAGGAGACAGACATGGGCTGGTTTTTAATTAAAGACACAAGTACTGGTTTTGTTCTGCGTGCTTGTTTGGTGTTTATCTGCAGATGAATTTACTTGTGTACCTTCTTATGGTCTGGTCTGCTTGTTCCATTTATTTGCATCTTGTAAAGATAGTTACGTTTACGTGCTAGTTGTTGGCTTTCGAGCTGTAGTTTGCTGGGTGCAATGCTAGCCGTAGGTTGTAGGCTTTCGAGCTGTAGTTTGCTGGGCGCACTAGCTGCGCTACGAAGATTATTCATTGCAAACATTGCTGGTTGGCTTTCGAGCTGTAGTTTGCTGGGCTGCACTTTCGCAGCGAAGATTATTCATTGTAAACATTGCTTGTTGGCTTTGAGCTGTAGTTTGCTAGGCGCCCTTTTGCTGCGAAGATTTTTCATTGCAAGCATTGCGTGTTGGCTTTTGAGCTGTAGTTTGCTGGGCGCCCTTTCGCCGGGAAGATTATTCATTGCCAAACTCTTATTTTCTTGTGAGACTACTCTCTGGTTACTGGTTATTCCCAGCACACTCATCGTAAAAGAGGATGCTCTCTCTTTACAATGGTCTCTTCTTATGGCCCTTTTCAAAGTGCTATTTACCCTTTTTCTCTTTTCCTACCCCACTGCACTGCTTATTCAGCTAAAGATAAATCCTACCAACGGTGGGTACGGATTCAAAATATCTTTTCTGAATGACAAAAGTAGCCCTTGTATTTTCCCTTGAACAGCAACTACTTTCTCCCTCTACAATATCTCTTGACACTCCTTATCAATGGCAGGAAAAAGTTTATATAAGATACTGTACGGGCAAGGTGCACCACAAAAAACCCTCGAATCGATATCTCAGACTACGAGATTCGTAGACGTGAAAAAAATGGGGTTTTTAGTCTTGAAAATGGTTTTTCTATCGCATTATCTATTTTCAAGATTTTTATATGTATATATTTATTTTCAAGATTTTAATGTATATAGATCCGCTTGATCATCACTATTTATGAACTTTTAAATTTCATAATTGGGGGGAGCAATATGGATTTTCAAATCATTACAAGGCTTTGTGGCATTGAAATAACATTCTTGGAATAGTTTTTGAGGTTTATCTTACTTCAATAGCATTAGTGGAAGCTTTATACAAACCTCACTTAGTGAAACAGAAAAAGTTTATATATGGTTGGAACCTTAGAATGTAGAATTATATATGTAGCTAAAAAATCTATTGAAATAATGTTATTTTAATGTTAAAAAACTTTTTAATTAACGTAGAGCTATGAATATTAAAAAAAAATAATTTTGAGCTTCAGAAATAGCGCATCTTGCAACATATTATTTAGACCATTTATTTTGAAGATTTTCATATATTTATAGATATGTTTGATTTAAGCAATTTTTTAAGTTTAAAATTTTATAATTAAATATAAAAATGATTTAAGTTATTTTTTAAGTTTAGAATTTTATAATTAGATATAAAAATATATTTTGACCGTTCGAAGAATTTTATATATTTATAGATCTGTTTGATTTTAATTATTTTTTAACTTTAAAATTTTATAAATAAATATAAAAATATATTTTAAAATAATCTCAACAAAATTTTACATCAAAATTTCCTATTACAATAAAATTTGGCGGTGCGCTTTAAATTGGATTGTTTTAGGTTGGTTGCAACCTTATAGAAACCACACCCTATTCGAAAACTCCATCCGTCCTTGCATGCCTCTTTGCTGACGAATAAAAACAAATTTACTCATCTTTTTTTTATCTTTTCTCAATGGGGGAAAATAAAATAAAAAGTATAGCAAAAAGAGGCAACAAATGCCAATCGTTTCAAGCGGTCTTATGATTGCTCTTTCTTTTATGTGAAAGCTGGTCGGTCTTTTTAACGGCTGGGATCATGCTCTCCACTTCATTTGTTTGCAATAATCACCTTAGTTCATGATAGATTTCAACTCTGCTATGGTTGGGTAAGGTTATTTTTGTGTCATATTTTGCTTATTTGTTGATCATCTACTCTTGCTCTTTTCTGGTTTTGTTCTAATTTTGCTGAAAGAGATTTTCTAAAACTCTTTACGAAAATGGAAAAAATAGAAAGAAATTTTCAAGTCTAAAAGTTTTTCTTTGGTGGACCATGACAATTCCCTCAATCTCAAGGTATTAAATTTATTTAAACAAGAGCATGACGTTAACATGTCAAGTTCCATAAAAGAGTTTTTTTTAGACCATTAATCATTTATCAACGAGATTGTTTATAAAGAGACTATTTATTTTTTTATATAGAACTCATAATAATTCGCCATCTAAATTTCAAAATAGGTAGTCATAAAAATGTAATTGAATTGACACAAAATTCAAAAACAAATATCTCAATGATTAACCCCAAGCTATCAAATTTGATATTTAACGAGTGTAGATGATTGTGAGCTCTGTGTACAAAAGATGAGATGTTTTTTTTTTGTAGACAAACCCTTCATGGATTAAATAGATACAATGAGTGCATATCAGTGGATCCAAGAGTTTCGATAGACAATAGGTAAGGATCTTAACTATGGTTAACTGAACGTTCTTTGGGATTAAATCCATGTCGCTTTCCCACATGCTTATGGGAAGGTATATGCCCATTATCTTTTCAAAAATATCTTTGATATGAAGTCGATGGATGAGGAATGGGCTCAAGTCAGGGGTACTAAAGGCATTACAATATGACGTCTTGAATTTTAGCACTACAACATAGCGTTATCTTCAATTTTATTTCAATTACGGCTAGAAGACCTCTTCCGCACTAAACCACCCAAACAAAAATAGAAAATTCGGTTGAATTGTGTAATCCACTATCCTCAAAGTTTGATAAGACGTACTATCTGTGGTCCAAAGACACAATCTCTCTCATATGGCGTATATGAAATGCGTCAGTCATATTCAAAATTCAAAGTTTGATCAGGTATTTTTCCAAAACTTTGTATAAAGCAATTGGTACGCCCATAGCATCTGATTTTATACCTGACTATTAGGGATTATTTTGGCCTTCTTGTATTATAAAAAGCAAGTTGCCTTATATTAATAAGCCTTGTACATAATTACAGTATCTTAATATAATCCTTTCATTGATTGAAAGTCTTGTCTTATCTTAAGAAGGATAAGCACGAATTATTTTCAGCCAAGGTTTCTTTGCCGTCTATCCTAATATTATTTAAAAGAAAATGGTTTGATAGGGTTGCAGCCCTATCAAAATAAGTAAAGCCTCACTTGAAAACTGATTGAAAATTACAATTTGAGCGTTGAAAAAAATTTATATCAATAATTTCGGTTTGAACATTATTGTTGTGAAAAAAAAAAAACAAAAAGATTTCAAGCTCTAACAATAATGTGTATTTTAACAAATTAGCTGTACCATCCATGTATTCAATGATCTGCAATATCCGTACAATTTTTGGATTTCAAATTTTATTTACAGTGTTAGAAATTGATTTTAGAGCCATTATAATAATTTTTATTGCTGAAAGTGCTTTTTTGAGGTATGGATTTATTTGATTTTCTTAACTCGTAGGCTTTATAGAAACTTCATCCCTAAATAAATGAATAATTTGGTCAACATTTTTTTTATATTATATTATGGATTCCAATTCAGTCTTTCACTAATAAAATCCAAAAATCGCTTCTGTAGAAGCCCTAGCCTTTTGTTGAGGATTGATTTGTTGAAAAGCATTTTTGATTTGACCTTAACATTGGTTAAACCTAAGTTAAATTCCGCATAATATTCTACCCATTTTTAAAATCTCAAAATTAATATTTTTGTAATTTGAAATTTAAAAAATGGAACTCATTCTGAAATTTACAATAATATTGATCCTCTCTTTATGCCGAAGATGCTTTTTCATTTGAAATTTTTTTAACCAAATTTGCAAGAACAACTGCTCATTTGGAAGCGCTGGATGACAAAAGAAGGAAGAGCGGCGGGGGAGCAGGCGAGGCCACTCTTCAGCTTGCATGCACTCCGCCTGCCTGCGGGCCTAACTTTGGGCAGCGTGCTCCGCACGTTGCGGTCTCTCGTTGCAGTCCAAGCAACAATGGTGGTCCCATCGCCATGTGCTCCTACTCTTGGGGCAGTACCACGTTTCTCTCTCTCTAGCCTTCCGGTTTGGAGTTTGGTCGTTGGTTACGTCAGGCTTAAAGTAGTGTTTTTAAAAGACAGATCTATGAACTCGAGTGGGCACCTAAAAATTAGTCTAGATTGGTGAATTGGTAATTCATTTAGTTTAGGTCGCTGAATCGGGCGATTTGAATGTGTGGATCGGTCGCATTCCATCTTAAAATGAAAGTAAAATTTTGAAACGAGGATGAGTGTCCAGTTGAGATCTGAGAGGAGTGTACCATGAGGCTGATGATTGTGGTGCTTCTGATTTTATTTCAAAAATCTTTTTCTAAGAAGCAAAAAAAAAAAAGCTTTTTGTAAACACATGAGGCTATTTCTTTATGTTTTTCTTTCTCTAAGTTCTCATATTTATAAAAGAAAAATAGGGGCCAACGTTCAATTTCTCAACGGGCATATGAGAGACAACCTCTAAGATTTCTAGGATGTTTAGCCTCATCTCACATGAATGTTAGTGAAAATATTGAGAAAATATTTATTTCGTTTGTATATTATATTTAAGAAAATATTTTAATGATGAATAAGCATTAAAATCAACTACCCATAGAATTCTTCCCATGAAAAGAGGTAAGGTTTTATGGACAGATATACACATGCTAACATCTCCCACTTGGCCATGACAACCATGTACACTTATAAGTTCTAGGTAAAGTCATATCTTTGAGTATGATCTTTATGATAATATTTGTCATTAGGTTTTTTCACGCTTTTGTGGATATGTCTCTCATAACAAATGTTCATAATTTCCATCAAAAGTACTTTTACGTTAATATAGATTTGTCACTCATGGAAACCTACTAACTTAAACATTTTAAAGTTATATTAAGTTAATGTGCTTAGAAAATATTTCTAGATTATGACCCTTTGTCAATAGG